GGTTTCTGTCTGTGTGTGTCCCCGTCCGTGTGTGTGTGTGTGTGTGTATGTCTGTCCGTGTGTGTCCATCCATTCGTGTCCATCCATGTCCATGTCCATGCATGTCTGTGTGTGTGACCAGCCGTCCCTGTCCACGTGTATGCGTCTGTCTGTCCATCCAGCCGTGTATGACCCCATCCATCCATATCCATGTGTCCATCTGTGTGTGTCCCCATCCACGTATGTATGTGTGCATCTGTCCATGTCTCTGTGTGTCCGTCTGTCCATCTCTGTCTCTGTCTGTGTACATGTATGTCTGTCCAACCATCCAGGTGTGTCTGTGTATCTGTCTGTCCATGTCCACATGTCTCCATCCGTGTGTCTGTGTGTGTTCCTGTCCGTGTCCCCTCTCTACGTGTTTGTGTCTGTCCGTCCACATCACTGTGTGTCCATCTTTCCGTCCCGGTCCATGTGTGCCAATCTGTGTGTGTGTGTGCACGGGCTTCCATCTGTGTCTGTGTGTCCATCTTTCCATCTGCGTCCAAGTGTGCGTGTCTCCATCCATAGCCATCTGTGTGTGTACGCTGTCTGTGTGTGTCTCTCCATCTGTGTGTATGTGTGACTCCGTCCATGTCCGTCTGTCTGTGTGTGAGAGCCTCTGGCTGTGTGGGTGTGTCTCTGTCCGAGTCCGTCTCTGTCTGAGTCCGTGTGTGTGTGTGTGTGTGTGTGGTCCATCTGTGTGTGTGTGGCACCATCCGTGTGTGTTTCCATCCATCAGTCCTTCTGTGCCCCCGTCTGTGTCTGTGTCTGTCCATGTAGACAGTAGATGGGGCGAGGACCTGCCAAGACAACACGGGGCCCTGTTGCATCACCCCACTCCACAGCACCCACACCCCATCCCCACCCCCACCCTGGGGCAGCCCCTCGCTGTCCCCATCTGTCCATGTCTGTGTGTTTGTGTGCATATGTGTCCGTCCGTGTGTGTGTGTGTGTGTGTTCATCCATTCGTGTGTGTCCATCTGTCCGTGTCCATGCGTGTCTGTGTGTGTGACCAGCTGTCCCTGTCCGTGTGCACACATCTGTCTGTCTGTCTGTCTGTGTGTGTGTGAGACTCCACCTGCATGTGTCTGTGCATGTGAGAGACACTGTCCGTGGGGGCATGTCTGTGTGTGTGTGTGTGTGTGTGTGTGTGTGTGTGTGTGTGTGTGTGTGTGTGTGTGTGTGTGTGTGTGTGTGTGTGTGTGTCTCTCTGTGTCCGTCTGTCCGTCCATGTCCCCAGCAGACTGGCCCAGGACCTGCCAAGGCACCATGGGGCCCCTGTTGTATCACTCCCACTCATGGAGACAGACAGACGGACACACACAGAGCCTCACACACACAGATGTGGAC